GTTAAACCAAAAAAAGAGGAATAATATCTAAAAAATGATTAGGAATGAACCACGAAATAAAGATAAAAAAACCAGTTCTAAAACCTCTGCCAGTTGAGTGTTTTTATGAAAAGGGTAGAATTGAGTATCAAGGAAAAATTTTGACAGAGGGTCGTAAGTGCGGAAAAATCTTTGAAATTAAATATAATCGCACCACTGGCCAATATGTCCAAAGGAATAATTGAGATTATTGGACGCAAAAGGATGAAGACGAAGGAAAATATATCTGTAATAATTGTTTAATTACTCTATATAGAAAAGACAAATATTTTTTTTGAGAGAGTGTTCAGAGTGAGAGAAAAAAGCGAACTTTGGGGAATTATGTTAATAGTGGCTCGTTATCTTAACTTATTTATCGGTTTGAGTTTGGTATTTTTTTCATTTTGCTAAAAATAATTCTTTATTCTTAATCACTAATTTTTTTACCTCATTTTGCTCTTCCTCAGATACTCGGCCTTTAATTTTTTTAACTTTTACTTCGTCTTTGGATTTTGCATCAGTTTTCTCTAACCAAAATTGGATTTTACCATATTTGGTTCCCCGGACATGAATATGGGCAGGCTTATGTTTTTTTAAAGGTTCTCCGGAATGAAAATAAAATCAATAACTACTTATCTTTCAAGTTGGCATAATTATTCACAATCAGCGTCAAAGCCCTTAGTAAAACTTTCAATTCCTAAAACTTCGTCGATATCGGGAAAATAAATCTCATCTCCCTCTCAAATTTCATAATTTTTTAATTTACTCGCATTAACATTCTTTACCCCTCATTTAGCAAATCAAGAAATCGGAATGCTTAACTCTCGACCATCATTTAATTGAGCGGTCAATTTATCTTTTTGGACTTCTAGTTCAGTTATTTTAGCATCTGCTTTTTGATTTGGCGTGATAACGGCTTTTTTTACTTCTTTAATGTCTTTTTTTATTTGAGAATACTCATCTTTTACAAGATTTCGTATTTCTTTTAATTCTTGAAAAAATTCAATTTTAGTGACATATTCCCCCTCGCCACTTGCCATTCTCATTCGCTTTTTTTTGTCCTCCATAATTCTATATAATGTATTTTTAACATTTTAACTAACATTTTAAAAAGTAAGCTAAGCCAATTTAAAATGTTGATAAATTGTTATATTATGAACTGAATCAAAAAATTTATCATTTACACAGGATTAGCCCTATCTTTTATAGGAATAGGAACAGGAATGACAGCCAAAGGAACAGGTTCAGGAGTAAAAAATGGT